TTTTGATCAGAATTGCAGAAAATCTGTATAACACTTTTGGAAGTGTGGTCATTTTTCACCATATTGGTTCTTCCTACCCAGGAGCAAGGGGGTATCTTTCCATATTCTGGTATCTTCTTCAATCTTCTTTTTCTGAGTACTGTAGTTTTCAATGTAGAGGTCTTTTACAACCTTCATTAGGTTGATCTCTAGGTATTTCATTTGTTTTTGGATGTTATTATGAAAGATGTTTCTTTAATTTTTCTCTGAGTTCATTAGTTGTGTGCAGAAAAGCTTCATTTTTGAGTGTTTACTTTGTATCCAGATATGCTACTCAATTTGGTTTTAAAGTCTAGCAGTCTTTTAGAGGAGTTTTTGGGGTCTTCAATGTAGAGTATCATGTTATCTACAAATGATAATTTCACTTCTTTCCTATCATTTTTTTCTCTTGTCTAACTGGTTTGGCTAAAGTTTCCAGGACTATGTAGAGTAAGCATGGAGATAGTGGATTTCCTTGGGGTGTTCCTGATTTTAGAGAGAAAGCTTTCAGTTTTTGGCCATTTAGTATGATGTTGGCTATTGGTTTGTCAGATAGCTTTTATCAGATTGAGGTAAAGACCATCTATTCTGATTTTGAGGTTTTTATTATGAATGGGTGCTGAACTTCATCAAATGCTTTTCTGCATCTGTTGAGATGATCATGTGATTTTTGTCCTTGTCTCTGTTAGTGTGGTATATTATATTCATTGATTTATGTATGTTGAACCATCCCTGAATCCCTGGGATGAATCCCTCGTGGTCATGATGTATAATCTTCTTGATGATTTGCTTCATTCTGTGTGCCTCTATCTTACTGTGGTTCTTTCTTAGCAGGGTCCTTCTTGGGTTTTGGTATCAGGGTAACGCTTGTTTCTAGGAATGAATTCAGGAGTACTGCTTCCTTTTCACTTTTATTAAAGAGTTTGAGAAGTAGTGGTATTAAGTTTCTCTAAATTTCTTGTAGAATTTAGCAGTGAATCCTTCAGGGCCTGGGCTTTTATTACTATTTTTAATTACATCTCCAATTTCACTGACTGATATTGTTTAGGATTTTTATATCTTCTTGATTCAGCTTTGGTAGTTCATATACATCTGGGAATCTTCGCATTTATTCTGCCTTTTCCATTTTATTAGGATACAGGTTTTCAAAGTAGGTATGATTAGAAGGGCTGCAAAGACAGCCAACATTTTGACCATAGACTTTCAAGGTCAGTGAAGACTCAGGACATAGGAGAACCTATACTGTAACATCATGTAACTCAGTTGTGTCCCAAATTTTTTGATCAAGGAGAAATGGCTACAGAGGAAAGTGATCAATGACATAGAGTGTGCCTAAGGAGAGTCACCTGGAGAGAAAATATCCTGCCAGGCTTTCACAGAGAGCAAATTGGTCAAGCAGTGACCGTGACTCATCCACATGGCTGACACTGACAAAGGATCTACAAAGTGCAGTACAGATTTACAGGATAAATCCTGAGGGGACTTGACTGACTTTATCAGATACAAAAGTTACATTTCTTACTTTATCTTGGTCTTAACCATCCAGCAGAAAAGTATAAAAATGAGGTATATAAAGTAACGCCATATTAATATGCTGAGCTGTGAAAGGCTCAAGTCAATAAATTCTGTGGATAACCCACTACTATTGTGGACTGCTAGACTGTGTTGGATTGTTTTGCTGAATTCATGCACCTATAGTATTTAGATGCCAATGGAATACCCATTTCTGACAGGACTAAACAAAAAAAGGGGATATAAAGGAAGGATCATTTTGTATCTGTATATGCAGAATAGTTAGGATAGATATACAGCTACTTTCGCTTAATTCAGTGAGAAGATTTGTACTAATAGTATTTGGACATGATATCCTGTCTGCATCTGGTACTATGGATAACCACTAAGAAGATAACAATGTACAATGTATTAATTATTGAAACTGTCCTATTAATCAGTTTTGAAACTTTCTCATTGCTATTTCTCAATAAAATAAAATAAATTTTAAAAAACCAGATATGATCTTTTGGATTTCTGCAGGGTTTGCGGTGATTTCACCCTTTTCATTCCAAATTGTGAGGATTTGAGTCTTTTCTTTCCCTTTTTTGATAAGGTTGGATAAAGGTTTATTGATTTTACTTAATCTTTCAATGAATAAATTCTTGGATTTATTGATTTTCTTTGTATTGTTTAGTCTCCACAAGTCATTTATTTAAGGTTTTTTGTTTTTTTTTTTTTTGTTTTGTTTTTGAGGTACCAGGGATCAAACTCAGGATCTTGTACTTTTAACTATTGCTGGCTGAATTTTTAAGGCTAAAGGTGAAGGATCTCCCAGAAATTGTAGAAAAAAAACTGGGTCTAATTCCTACTTGAGATTTACTTGGTATCTAGCACACTGGAAAAATAATTAATGCAAGAGTCAGTGGAGATGGCTTTTTGTCCTTTAGTGGCAACTTTGGTCCTTTCACTAATGGGCTGGCCCCAAGATCTTGTTTCCATCCTGCTAGTGTCCATGTTTCTGTTAAGGACAACTAATTCATACATGCAGGGATTTCAGGTGTTTTGAGACAAGACTAACTAAGCGCATACACCTTCTTTTGTAGGGGTGACAGGCAAAGCCTGGACACTGTGACCCTGAATGTGTGGGACATTGGAAGGGAAGCTAATGTTCAGCTCTGGAGAGCAGACCTGGCCTCAGGCTCAGACTTTTTCAGTGTTTTCAAATAAAACAAGTTATTTAGAATTTGTTGAGCCCGCCAGACTATACACACACACAAGGCTTCATTAGAGGTGTGGGCTGGGGGTCTGGCAGCAGCAGACTGCTGTGTGAATATACAAGTTTTGTGCACAGCGGGTAGCACTCCTGGTGCCCACCCTGGTGACAGCAGTGCGGCCTTGGAAGTGCACCTAGGTGGCTCTACAGGCTGGAAACTATTTTCATTAGCAACAGAAGGTCCTGTTAGGAAGGCAGAAGTCTATTTTGCCAACATGCAGGCTCAAACAATGAAACATAATGGCCCAGATGTCTTAGGTGCTTGACAAAACAATGTTTCATTAAATTGTGACAAGCTTCCAATCCTGTGGCACTGTACCATCTCATGGAGGAAAGCTTTTTTTCCCCCTTCTCAGTATTGTGGGTGGAACCCAGGCAGCACTGAGACCATCCCCAGCCCTCTGTATTTTCTGTGAAAGGGTCTTGTGAAGTCGGGGTTGGCCTCAAACTGTGATCCTTCCCTTTCTCCCATGCGCTCACCCCCCCAGCTATAGCTGCGTTTACAGGCCTGCACCACCATGCCTGGCCCTGGGAAAGCTTTTTAACTCGTCACACGATTAAAAGGCAGACCTGAATCCAGCATGGCCTTCAGAGGTGTGCACTTGCCTTCTTGTCCCTTACACCTGGGATCACTTTGAGGCTTTATAAGCTTATGAAGTGGACTCAACTGTTTTCTGCTATTTTACAGCACTTGTTAAAAGTTTTTGAATATGGATAACCCATGAAGTGCATTCGAGAATTCTGAAGGAGGTTCTAGCAGCTCAAGAAAGGAAACTATACCCAGGCAGTACTATGTCAAACAATCACGTACCCAAGCTCTGTGCATGCACTCTGGGAAAGCTTTGGTCTTTTTTTTTTTTTTTTTGGAGGAACCAGGGATTGAACTCAGGTGCTTGCGCTTGCCAGGGAAGCGCTTATTCCACTGAGCCATTTCCCCAGCCCCATGCTTTGTTTCTTATTAACACCCTTGTCAACCTTGTGGCCTGATGCACTGAAGGCCTGCTGCAGGGGTGAATCAGTGTGTCCCATGGCAGAAACTGTTCTGGGGCCTTCAGAGATGACCTTCAACCTGCCACTGCACAGGTGAGGAACTGAGGCACAAACTACAATCTGGGCTTTCCAGTCTCCTCTCTGTGGCAGGGTGCCTGTTTTTTATCTTAAGGATGAGAACTTGTCTTTTATAAAAGTCATCACATCTTTTTATTGTTGAGACAGGGTCTTGATTTGTAGTACAGGTTGGCCTTGAACTCACTATGTAGCCCAGGCTGGACTTGAACTCATAGCAATCTTTCTGCCTCAGCCTCCCAAGTGCTGGGATACCAAGCATATGCCACCACACCAGGCAAAGATACAAATCTAAAGGACTCTTCAGGGCAGCTTCAATTAAAGGTCATCTAGCTTGCTTCTGGGAACAAGGGGTCCCTCTGTCATTCACAAGCTTCTAGGACATTCTTAAAAACCAAGTCCATTTAATTGGCTCTCTGCAGACAAATGCATAGAGCCCAGAGAATGCCAGAGCGCAGGTCCAGAATGTGGTGCAGGGATTGAGTCTAGAAGCATCAGGGCCCCAGATGGGAGGGAGGCGGCAGAGAATGCAGGGGCTCCACACATTCCTCAGTAATTCTGCCAACTTCACACACAGACCCCCCCAGAATCTTTCAAGATGGGGAAGATCCAATGCCTTTTAAGTAAGGGTCTCACTTTGTAGGGCAGGTTGGCTTTGAACTCAACAAGGTAGTTCAAGCTGGCCTCGAACTGTCAGTAATTCTCCTGCCTCGAGTGCCGAGATTACAGTTATGTGCCACCACACCCAGCTTCAAAGTCTCATTTTACAGATAAAAGAATGAAGACAAATGCTGATTTCTCTTCACTATTTTTACACAACCTGGAGCCTGAGCTACCACATTCCCCAACACACAGGCCCCGTGTCCCTTGACTTTCATGTAGTGCCCTGCAGGAGCAACCAGAGGCGAGGGCACTTGTCAGGGTGGCTGTTTAAGAAAACCCTCAGGTGCACATTGATTTAAGCTGTAATATTTTAATTTACAATTTTTTAAAAAAAGGTATTTTCTCTGCAGAGGGCTCACTCTGTAGTGCAGGCTGGCCTTGAACTCACCAAGCTGACCCCTTCAGCTTGTCATCCTTCCACCTCAGCCCCCCAAGAGCCAGGATGACAGGCCTGTGCCACTGTGCCTGGCTAAAGAATCTACATGTTTTACTTTTTCTCCTTTTTCTCTTCTTTCTTCACATCACTCTTCTCCTTCTCTTTCTCCTTCTCTTTGTCATCTTTCCTATCCTTTTTGCTCTCTTCTTTCTCCTGCCCCTCTTTCTTCTCTGCATCCCGGTTGGCGATCTTGTTGTTGATGAGGTTGTGTAGGGCGACCACGGAGCGGATCAGCGAGGCCAAGTACACCACCACCATTTGGTCATTGGTCTTCAGGTAGAAGGCCTTGACAAACTCCTGCAGGCTGACATCGGGCAGCAGGTTGAAGACGTCCTGCAGCTGGTAGATAATCTGGTGGTTGATGGGCAGCTTGCCCGTGGCTACTTTCTCCAGGTAGCTCCGGATATCCAGCAGCTTGGAGTTCAGTCCCTTCAGACCATGGACCTGGTTCGTGATCCGCTGGGACAGAGTGCCCACTGTAGTGTCTTTGATGTCTCTGTAACAACCCAGGACAAAGGCAGGAAGAGTAAGAACTATGCTGCTGCGTAGGCTCTCCTCATCTAAGGAACACCCAACTTTGTACAGAGGAACAGATTTTCACGAGAGAAGTATTACCTCTTTGGGAAGCATTGGGATGAACGCAGGACCTCATGTGCACTAGGCAGGCGCTGCACCACTGACCTCTACCCTCTACCTCCACCCTAGACGTAACTACTGCATTTGATATAGCTGGGTATACCTTACTTCAACTTTGTTTTTATTTGGGGGATCTATATTTTGTTTCTCATGACAGCACATTTTTCAAAAGATTATAAAGCAAAGCTAAAATGAAACTTAAGGAGCTCTTTTAACCAGGCGTGGTGCTGCGCGCTGGAGCTGAGGGGAGAGGACTGTGGGTCTGAGGCATGCTGGACCACACAGTGAGATCCTGTCTCGAAACCCCAGTTCCCGCCTCTTGTTCCTGGTCCCTATAATAAAGGATGGTACTCTTGCTACCTGCACTTCAAGGGTGTTCTGAGGACTGGAAGAAGCCTTACTGTCTGATACACACTAGGATGTAGGAGACACCCGTCCCAAGATGAATGTTCTCTGCAGGACTCAGGTTTTGTCCCTTGGAAGGAACAGCGCAGGCCCGCATCAAGCCACATACCTGCTCCAGTGACAGCAATGCTGTGGTCCCTGGACAAGGTGTGCTGTCAACAAAGTCACTCACCCAGCTCAAGGGGCTTTAGAGATGGCTCAATCTTGGAGCCAAACTCCAAGATGAAGGTGCTGAACTCAACTATCTCAATTTATGGATGAGCAAAAAGGCACAGAAAGGGCCTGTTATTTGTTCTCAATGTGAGGATCCTGGCTGGCTGGGCAGGGCCGCACTTAGGCCTGCAGACTCTGGGTTTGGCCCTATCTCCACACGCAGCATGTGCCTCACCGCAACAAGTGCTCCACGCCAACCTCCTCAGCCTCCTCTGCTCCGATCTCGCTGGTCACGTGTTCAAATGTTTTTGAGGTTGGAGTCCCATCCTGGGAAAAGATGCTCAGCTTTAGTTACCCACTTCCAACAAGAACCCGGCACTTGTGCCTCTCACATGTCGTGTCCTTCAGCGAGTGCATCTCACAGGGCAGCCCACAGCAGGGCGGTCAGGTTTGCTCGGAGAGCTCGGCCGTCAGAGCTCAAGTCACTGCGGCAGTACTTGGTGGCGAGGTTGGCTGAGGGATTACTGCTGGCTTGTCTGTATGCCATGGTGGCTACCAAACTGTCTTTTGAGGTTTTTCTTTCTTTTAAAGAAAAAAAAAACACTGATATTCCCTCAACCCATGCTGGGGATGGATGCTCAGGGACATCCCAGTTGATTTTTAATGTACATAGTTTTCTGTACTGCGAAGAATACAGACACCTGCATATGAGGCAAGCTCATGGAAAATACAGCCCGTAACTGTTTACTGTCCGTTGGGCCAAATGGCCCAGCACACCATGAATGGTGCAGTCAGAGCCCCTGGCTTCCTGGTGGACTGCGCAAGCCATACGCTGCATCACTGCTCACACACAGGGCCACAGCGGCTGCACTGCTCTCTGGCAGCCTGCGAAGATGCCTGGGACAAGCCCTGTGGCCAGACTCAGGGCTAGACATGGGACTACGGACAGGTGACTTAACTCAGGCCAGGCCCCTAAGGAGCACTCATCTCTGCTTTGGATACAGGCTGCTCAGGGCCTTTAACAACCTGACAGGAGGGGCTGGGAGATAGCTCAGCAGTCTAAGCGCCTGCCTGGCAAGTGCAAGGACGTGGGTTCAGTCTCTGGTACCACACACTGTGCCAGCCCCTGTGCCAAGCTGGCCACTGACACTGGGCATGGTGGTGCATGCCTGTAATCCCAGTGCTGGAGAGGCTGAGCCAGGAGGATCACTACAAGTCTGAGCTGCGTAGCGAGACCCTGTGCCAAATAAATAAATAAATAAATACCGAAACCTCCACAACCTGACAGTACTTACAGCAAGTGCGCTAGCTACTAATTCTGCTTCATATTCTAAGGTGACAAGGTTTTAAATTAACTAAAATCAAGTGGCACAAGACCAGGGATTAGAAACCTTATCATAATAGGCAATAATTTTAGATCCACACTTCTGGGGATGAAACAAAAACAGGAAGATAGGGCTAGTGTAAGGCTTGTGTGTGGGAAGGGACAGTAGAATATTCTTTTCCAAATTTTAAGGATAAGCAATACATATCTAAATTCCAAAACACACTTTAACCCATCTCTCAAGCTCTTAACTTTAGCAAGATATCCTAAGTACAAATTCTTTCTCTCCTGAAGTTCTGTCCTGGAGACAGAGGAAAGCCATATTCTCGCAGTGGGCACTTTTATACCCAGTGTAAGTTCTTGCTCTTGGCATCTCTAATTTACCTCTCTGAAAACCTAGGATCTGATCTGCGGGGGCTGGAAGTGTTTGGGGAGAAGAGACAATGGCACCGAGGGGGTGTGACAGCCAGGGCAGCAGACCGCATTTCCTGTGCAGCAGCATCTCTGAGCTATTGTCTGACTACTATAGGCTTTGATTTCATTTGTGAAAGGGGACTGCAGATTTCTTTAGTCCTGCATATTCCTAAACTTTAGTTTTTTTGACTCAAAAACTCAAGGGGAAAAGACCTTAAGACTCAACTGTCAACAGAAAACAACCCCCTTCTCTTTGTTAAAGAGAAAGGATCTGTTGACTTGAAAATGGACTAAGAAACAACCCCTCGCCGGCTGCAAGTCTCCTCTGGGCTCCCGGCAGGTGACTCACATCGTGAACTTCCTCCACAGAGATGTATGCTTCTGTGGGCAACCCCAGGTCCTTGGGCTTCACATCAATGATGACCAGCACCTGGCAGGGGAACACAGCTTAGCCAGCCGTCTTAGGCTTTATACAGAAGCGACAATTCCTGCTGTCTTCTCATGACTATGGAAGCGATTTCATTCATTTAATCAGAAATGAGATAATTTTCAGGAAAAGTGAGTTTATATTTCAAATTATCCCATCATTTGCTTTATTCTTCACTCCCTTCTATTAATAAGCTTAGAGGTGGTGTAGATGGGAATCGTCCCAGGGAGGCTTGACATGAACCGAACCCACAGACTCCCCACCCCCAGACCTTATTCTATGCTGAGAGGATCAGGTCAGTCAAGTATCTGGCAATTAGCAGGCATTAACTGTTATTTTCTAATTAGAGCACTAATTCCATTAGGTTACTGCGAAGAACACTACAAATGAACACTACACATTTACAGAAGAAATCCAGTGAGCTGACATGTGACCCAATCCTTCTTAGGCTGCCCTTAAATTGGGTGGTATGGAAAAATGCTATTGGAGAGTTTAAAATACAGACAGCACTTACTGAGTTTGGGCA